AAAGTCCTCTATCAACTATATGTATTACGTTAAGTATGTTTAAATTTGTATTATCTTTGTGCTCCAATGACCTACATGACCTAAAGATAATCATTTTTTAGTGGGTTCGTGTCTTAACCATGTAGGTTGAGTGGATCAAAATGCAATGTGAGAAGGTTACTTTTATTATGCAGCTTAAAAAATTAAAAGAAAAAGAAAGGGTACAAACTCTATTCAGTGGATCGGAAATTGAGGATAAACTCTTAATACCCGAATAAGTACCAAAAAAAAAGAAGAAGAAAGATTTGTGTTCTAAAAATAAATAGAAAAAAAAAAAGAAAATTTAAGATGTCTTAATATTAAAAATGTTAGAATGTTTAATCACAATTATTAAATGTATAAAATATAATATAAATTTTAAATTTATTAAATTTATCATGTAATTATTATTAAATATATTAATATTTTTAATATTAAAATATTTTTATATTTTTCTCATAAAAATTATTTAAAAAATAAAAAATATATTTTACAGGACGAACTGTATACAGTTCATTTTATAAAATTACTAAAATATTTTTTTAAAAATAATATAAAATAAAATTTAAAATCATTTAAATAATTTTACAGTACAAAACTGTATACAACCCGCTCGTAAAACAGTTTTCTGTAAAAAATTTATCCGCGTAGCGGTGGGAAAGGGAGCAAATGGGAAAGCGAATGGTGGGTAGAAACATGTTTGGCCCACAATTCGGAAAGTACGTTAAGAAAGGAAGAGAGAACAGTCAAGAAAACTCAGCTGCCCAACCAAGATAAAGAACCTTCCAACATGTCAACAATTCCCTCAGTCTTGCATCCTCCCTCATTCCAATGTCCACCTTCATCCCAGCCGCGGACATTTCTGCGTGTAACATACGCGCCACCGTAGAGGGCCAAACAATTCCCATTTTGTATGCTTTCGTGGGCAAAATTAGTGACATGTCTTTGTTCCTTGAGAAGTTAATAGAATAGTGCAGGTTATATTATGAAATTATGAAAAAAAAATTCAGAGAAGAAGAGAAGTTTTTTAAGAATTTAATTATTTGATAAAGAAAAGTAAAAAATAAAACATCTTAACATTTAAAATGTTAAGATTATTTAGGAAAATATTTTAATATATTTAATGTATCTTTTTTATTTGATGATTTATTAATGATATTTAAAGTCTTTTTA